GCTGGTGAACTGAAGAAAGAGGAAGTTATTTCTCCTACCCTCTTTTTGCTGGACAAGAGATGTTCCATCAGCTGATATAGTTAATTCTGTACAACCCCTAAGCTTTTTCATCTTTTTTTTGAAGAAATTTATAAAAATTTTCACCTTTCTCTTGGAGTAATTTATAGAAATTTATTCAAGGCAATGCTACATTTTTAATATAGTGGCTGAAATATCTAATTAAAAGATTTGGTATATGTTATTTGGTACACATTTTTAATTTTGTCTAGTAATTTCATAGCATTGATTCCATGCCTAAAATGCAATCTTCAAGCAATGATTGACGGACAATATGAAGAACGGGAAAAGCCCAACTTTTCCAACTATTTCTATTTTAATTTGCTTTTTCATAAAGTCAGAAGTTTACCAAGTTTACCAAAAGTAGGAGCCTTCTTACATATTGACCCATCCTCAGTTTGTATTTGTTTGTATTCTATTAAATATAGTAAGAAAAATCCTGTTCTATTATTCATTAATGGCATTTTAAAAGATATGCTTTCAGAAAATACCAAAAGAATGATTTGGTTTTATAAAATAATGTAAGCAAAACTAAAGTAATGGGGAAATATACACTAGAAAACAATAATCTATGTGCAAAATGGAATGATCTAAGATGATATAATAGTACTTTTTATCTAATTTCTCTGTGTTATCTCATCTGATTGTACCGGAACTGCTTTTTTGGGGGGGGAGCGGGGGAAGTCAGGCAATTCCCCTGTTCATTTCAAAGACAGAAATAAATAGAATACTAATTCTCAATACCAACATTGTTAATAGTCTCTCCCTGAGATTCCCCACCCAGAAAGTTTATTTAATGCAATTCCGTAATTCTACTTGCAAAATCATCTTCCTTTATTACAAACCAAAAGTACATCCAAAATTACCTTAGACTTCTTAATTAAATTGCTGACCATCTTTGCCCTAACCTTTTTCAGTAAATGTGCCTAACATATTGGAGCTGTTAAAAATTTAACAAAACTAAGTTGTACTGTTCAGTTTTATCTCAGTCTGGATGTAGTATAAAAGTATCTGCCAACATTTTTCCACAACATAAAATATATTTTAGCATATTTGTTGAAAATTTCAATTACACAAAAAACATCCATAGAGCTCCCACCATGATGTTGTTCAATCCCCATTTGGGGTATGTGTGTTTATGTGTAATATCATATGTCTTCTGGAAGCATGTGGTTCTTTTTTCATGGTTTTATGCCCTTTATTATTTATTATTATAAGCTACACAGATTTATGTGGACTTTAATAGTCTCTAAATTGTAATGGCTATTATCATATGATCTTTAACATTTTATATAAAGCGATATCTCAGTAAGATCTTTAACTTTATGAAAAAAGAAAGCTAAGTAAGAGTTTAGAATGAGAATGGTGTAATAGAAAACCTTCACATTAAGTTTGTATCATATTTTCTATTAAGCATTGAATCAAAATAGCAAAACATCAAAAGAATGTAGGGATCGCCTTCATAATGTCCATTGCAAATCTGAAGATAATTCATAAATGCACGCCCTCTAAATTTCAGTATCGGAAGGCTCTGCTTGGATACTGAATGAATGTGCAAAAGATGAACAAACTATGTCAACAAATAAACTGAATTTCAGAGATCTAACATAGAACTATGAATAAAATATATATTTAAATTGTCAAATTATTTGGCTGATTATATTGATTAATCATAGAAGCCATCAGTATATATTGTCTCTGGCTGGAATAATATTCAGGATAATCAAAATGTGTTTGATTTCCTAAGAATGAATAGAATGAATTGCCGGAAGGAGGGCAAAACAAACTTTATAGGTATGATATAGTTGAAAAAGTAGTTGAAAATGAACAGGTTAAAATTTTGTAGGATTTCTAAATATACACTGATACGTCTTTGATCAGAAGGAGATGGCATAAACCAGTCGTGGAGGTCTCAGTGGTTATCCCCACATTGGGTAACAACCCAAATTTTTTAAACGAATATAAAAAATCTGCACATTGACAAAATTCCCATGTGTCAATTGCAAAAAACCACTGCTTGAGTTCACATACCAATATCTTATGACATCCTAGTTCTCGATGCGTATGAAAGCTGAAGAACTGGCAGCTAAAGAATTGGCAGCTGTTGCTTTACATTCACACAGATAACCTTCTGAATGGGAAGCAAGTGTCTTCACCACCAGCCCACTACACAGTTCAGATTACAACAACTGTTAGTATTTTCACTATTTTTCAAACTACTGAATCAAGTTAATTTAACTTTATTACAATAACCTCTATTTCCATTTATCTTTCTTATTGTAGAATGTGATTATTTCATGATTACGTGCAGTGTAGCCCTCAATATGATTACTAAGTCCCTAAGCATTCAGTGATGCTGTCTAGTTACATTTTTAATCATTGTAGCATTATGAAAGAGTCCTGCAATATATTCAAAAATAAGTTTTATAACAGTTTTAAAAACTACTTCCTTTTTTTTAAAAAAAGGTGTATAGTATTATGTGTATAGTAGTTAAATAGCTTTGGTGCAATTTTAATTTTCATCACGCATATACATTATTGATTTTTTTTCAGTCCAACTGAAAAATTACGAAGCAATTTTGATATAGTATAATGAAACATGCTTTGAAACACTGAAGTATTTCAAAGGAAATTCATGTAATTTTAAAAGAAGAAATCTTCTAGTTTTCTTGCATTCTTTTAAAGTATCCATCCATCTCTTTTTGGAATGACAATTGCTAATCTAGATTGAGGATAATGGTAAACACTATGACAGCTCCTGGACTAAGGTGGCGCTTGTAGACACAACTCACTGTCCCTATTCTTTTAATGTAATTCCTTTTACTTGATGTTAATGCAAATTGTTCCTTACTGAAAGTAATAAAAGGAAATGAAGACACATTTGAAAATGAAAGTTGACGCTAATCCATTCTTCATCTAATACTAGACTCTTTATCTTTGCTGCTACCTAATCTGGTTAAATGTCCCTCTTGTAGGATTTTAGTGTAAATCCTCTATAGGGAATAGGGTTTTTTTTTCCCCTTCTCCTTTTCTCTTGTGAGTGTGTATGAATCTGCGTGAATTGCAATGGCTCAGCAATCTGCTTATTTCATTTGTATGTGATTGTGTGTGCATGTGTGCATGCGCACATTTTACTGTACATTAAAAACGAAAAGATATTCTTCTCTCCCCATTTTATTTTTTTCTGCTTCTCTTTCTATCTTTGCTGTGGAGCAATAATAGTTCAACTATAATACAAAATTTGGTATTTGATATTTTATTTCTGAGAGTGATAACATGGTTTTAAGCATGTGCTCCTTTCTATCTCCCCCCTTTAAATTGTATTCACTGCCAATGAGAAAGTACATATTAATATCTTCTGTTATTTGAAAATTGGGATCCTGGCCTATATGCCTATTCAGAAGAAGTGTCCCTGGAATTCAGTAAGTCCCATTCAGTTCCCTGACGTTTGTCTCACACCTAGGCTTTGCCATCTTCAAGACAATCAGATAGATTTTGCTTGCTTGCTTTGTTTTTGGTTTAATAAACTGAAACTATTATTATTTTTTCTTTCTTTAGGACATACTTCTAAAAATTAAAAGAAATAGATGGTGGGTCAGTAGTAAATTTTAATTTAAGAAAGATATGGAACTGGACATGAACATATCTTGAAGATAAAGTTTAAAAAGTATTCAGAAAAAAAGTTGCATTATAGTGAGATTATAGTGACATTTGAAAAAGCCAAAATCTTCCTTTTCTTTTAAATACTGTAGGGCCCATGCTAATTTGTTTCTAGGTGGATCAGATGCATGATTGGTTCAGGTTGGTTCCTGTCCACCAGCAGCGCAATTGCTGACACATGGATTTTAAGTGTGACCAGAACTATGTGCCCTGAAGTAAACTCTGCAGTGTACACATCTCTGACTGTAAGATCTGTGTGTCAGCAATTTTAGAGCTTCTTATTTGGCAAAGGGTGAAAAATATTTTTATACCTGGTAGAGATCAGTAAACAACACACAGCCTCGGAATTTAATGGTGCAAACACCATGTCTTAATTTAAACAAAGGAAACAGACCAAAAAAACCCTTAATATTACAACAGCAGTTTTGTTCCAAATGGTAAGATGTTTCTTTATATCGCAATAAAAATCTTTACACTCTTCAAAATATATCATGGTATAGAGAGTTTAAATAAAATGAAGCCTAGGTTCTTCCATGTACAGCATTTGCTACATTTTCTCACCACATCAGACCTCTTCTAGTTCAAAGACAATGGAAAAGGAAAGACTGCAAGCACAATTTGCTATACAAATGCCGGAACTTCAGAATGGGTGATTTTCCATTGGCTAGAACCCTTAGCTTGCCCCACCTTCTTGGCTTTCCATTTCCTTTAAAGATAAGTCTCCATGGCACCCCATAATTCACTGTGCATCAGAAACAAGTGATATAGTTACGTTGGGATTAGGGGCAGGGGCACTGGAAGCTATTTTTTTAAAATTGGTCTCTTGGAGGGTACACTAGCCAGTTCATGACTTGTCCTGAGTGTTTTGTGATAGCCATGGCAAGGACGTGAAAAAACACTGAAAAAAACCATATAAAGAGTGGTTTTCAAGAGTGACTGTGAAGAACTTCCTACAAGAGAGTAAAGGGGCTTCATTTTACAGGTCAGGAAATTTCATTCTTAACAATATTGAGTTTATTTCAGCATACTTCCTAGTAAGTAAACTTAAGAATCCCAAAGCATAAGACAAAGGAGGAATAAAGAAAACTCCTGAGCATATTCTCACATTCTGCACATAAAGAGTCATAAATGCTAAAAACATCTGTGACTGTATCTGTGTGTATGATTGTGTGGGTGTGTGCATGTGGGCACATGTGCATATGCATAAACAGCTTCTTTAGTATATCTACTTGGAACATACTAATGCAACATCTTCCTATACTTTTTATTTTCTATTTTTACAGTCTAACAAAGTCCCAGTTGTGCAGCACCCACACCATGTACATCCTCTTACACCGCTTATTACATACAGCAATGAGCACTTCACGCCAGGGAATCCTCCTCCACACTTACCAGCCGATGTAGATCCCAAAACAGGTAGGTTGCAAGACTTACTCCAGAAGGATGTTTGAGAAGATGCTAGACATTAAAGCAATTATTTAAAAGGGATAGTGTCTGGTCAATTAAAGAAGAAAAACATTGGCAAAGTATAACAAAAAGAATTTTAAAATGATGGAAAAAAAACAGGCTATTTGTATGTGAAGAAAATTCACAAGTTATGTAAGTCGTAGTTTCCTTTATGCATCACTTTGAAATTGTGTGACCTGTCATTCAATGCACACTAATGATAACTCAGTCCATTTCTAATGTCTATTTTTTAGTAAGATACTTCGATACCATCCAGAAATTAAATCTGTGGTTTAAAGAAAATTACCAAGATGATACTCAATTGTTTCTAAAGCTGTTCAAAATAGATAAATTTCTTTAAACAACGTTATTCTTCTCAAAGCTATATGAGCAAATTTATGTATGTATATGTATATATATATATTCTAGAAGTCCACTGATCATTTGTTAATGTATTATATATTTATATGTCACCTAATCAATTGATTCCAGTAACTCACCAGTTTCACAAGAGTAAAACTAGTTAACAAAAACACAACAACATAAAAGTCATAAAATGGTGCAAAACTAACTTACCAACCACCTTGCTTAGCAACAGAAATTTGGCCCTTAGTTGTGGTTGTAAGTTGAGGACTACTTGTATAAATCCTGAGAAAACATTCACTTTTACAATGGAATTTTTAACCATCTGTTTACATCAATGTGAACATTTCATATTAAGTTTACAGAAAGAAAATATTATTGAAGTAATTATTCCCATATATTTAAATGTATCCAAACTTCACATAAAGCTCTGGTCTTTAGGTAGCATATGAAAATAGGTAAAATTGAATCATCTGATGCTGATATTGCTGTACTATGCATCTGATATTGTTGTGCTGTATCTATATATTGTGTTGTATAACAGTCATAATTATTCACAAAACATAATAATAGTTTTGTGCTCAGTTGCATTTAAACTACATTTCTAAATCTTACAAAACAAGCCAATTGTACTATTATTAAATTAAATAAGTACAAGTAGTACTTGTTTAGTGACTCTCTTGATGAGCAACTATTCCTGTTATGAGGATGATGAAAAAGTAGCTTTAAGACTGATCCTTGAATGTATGACCTTCCCAGGTCTCTAAAAAATGAAAAGATAAAATAAGATCATAAGCAGAGTCACAATTTCATTAGTGGCCATTTCATTTAACATCCAATTTAATCCTGGCCAAAGGATTAAAAAGTCACATTTTAATCAAAGTATTTCAAAAAGAAGGAAATCCAGATTTGACCTAAACTTCTTTCAAAAAGTTTCATTGTAGCTATTCAAGGCATTCTCATGGTCAGATCAAGGTTTATGAATTGTTCAAGACCATTTTGATTCAAGGTTGAACAGGACAAGCTCTAGTATTGTCTGAACAAAAATGCCATGGTAATTTTTGAATTTTGTAAATCAACATTTAATGAAGAAATAGGACAATATTTTTAGTGATTGTAAGTCTCTTTGAGTCACCTGTAGGCAAGCTGGGTGGCATATAAGTTTAATAAATAAATAACATTGTCTTTACCAGTCTTCAAAGCCATTTATTATTGTTAATAAATTTAAAGCACTTTTAGATATTAAAGAGCATTTTTAAAAAAGTTTGGTACTATATGCAGTATATTCCTCTTACCTTTTAAAGAATTATAATTGCACTGTATTCTTTACATGGTTGAGATTTATCAGCATTAAGTAGACCCTGCGAGGAAGAGGTTAATCCAATTAAACTTGGAAAAAAAAAAGTAAAATTGATAATCTGAATATATGTCAAATGTGGTTAAAGATTATTAAAGTTTCAGACAATTTAAATAATGTGTCAAAAATGCATGGATTATTGCACTACATTTTTCCACATGCCACAATTGTCTATTCTTGCATTTTACTAAATTCTAACTTGCAAAGGAATATCATGCATCCATCTACGAATGTTGCTCTGTGAAACATTATTTCGAGGGTGTAAACCACTCACTAAATCTTTAAAGCCTAGTTAATCTGTTCAGCTAATGAAGAAAAAAAGAAACTTGCCATTACTTGAAAATATCTCACAGGAAGATTTAATTTATAATCAAGGCTTTCTGAACATCTTAAACATAGTTTTAGAGCTGTGAATATTGTGTCTCTTCATTGTAATGTTTTCTCTCACGAATCTTGTTTTATCTGAACTGGAAAGCATTAAGCCACTTTAAAATACTAACCAACTGTTACTCTCCTGAGAAAGTTAACATTATAGGATATACATTTATAATCTTTCTTTAATCTATTCTCTATAGATATGTTGAAATTTCCTAGTCTAAATCTATGGCCAAAGAGTTGTAATCATAACACATTGGAAGGATACAAGTTTAGGAAATATCAGCAGCTACATATTTGGACAATTCCAAATAAACTCTTTCCAGGCATTTATTTATCTTAGCTAAAGACTTAAAAACCCAATCAGCAACACAAAACTGGGAGGTGAGATTTTTTTTAAAAAAAAATTCAAGTTAATCATGTGTTTTTAAAAAAATACTGATTAAATATATTTGAACTATATATAGTAAATACATAGTTCAACTATATTTAAAAAATACTGATTAAATATATTTGAATTATATATAGTAAATACGTATTTCAACTGTATTTAATCATTAAAAAACAGGATTAATCGCTGTTCTCTATTGCATATAATTTAGTGATAAAACCGGATTCGGTACAGTATGCAAGTTATTAGAAATCAAGCTGCATCTACCCAATCCATACAAATCTCTACAAAAACAATATTACTTATAGTGTACCCAATTCTCACAATATAAAGGCCAAACTATGTAATATCCCTATCCTTAGAAATTATATCTGGTTTTTTTTCCCACCTTACAAATGTAAAAGATGGGATTCTGATCCAGATTATGCTGAGATAGGCATAAAAAGAATTTGCTTCTCTATGACATCTCTTATCCAAATACTCCTGCTTACTATTTGCTTAGAGGAAAAATAAATTTCTAATTAAATGAATAATTAAATTAAATGTCATTTATAAAACTTTATAAAATGTAACTGTCTCCTTTGACTTTTATTCTAATGTGACTTAATACAGAAACCAGAAATCCTACCGCTACTCCTGATTTTAGTGAATTACATCAATTTCATAAGTTTAAGTCTAAATTCTAGAGGTGGTTTTAAGGTTTCAGTTACCTGAATATAATGGTAAAATGATATAAAATAAATGTATACATTCTGTGTTGAATCTTGGCATTCCCAGAACTGCTTGTTCATAGCAACTGTGACAGAAGATAGGAAGCATCTCTTTGTGTTTATTTTTATAGAGGATCAGAATAGCTTTAAGGTCAAATCCTAAATGTTCTCTCTTTTGGTTTTCTATTGGGTTATGCCAATGGAAGAGCTACTTAATTTAGACAATTTTTAGAGCTGCCATATTGCAATTTGAACTCTGATAGCAATTTTTTTTTTAAAAAAAGAAACTATAAGCATAAAATGAATAACACAATAATAGCATAATTGTGCCTGTGGACAATCTAAGCCAGCCCATACAATAACCATACTTTAAAAAAAAATCACATTGATGATATAACCAAATCTCCAAAACCCATGCTTAAGGAAACATCAACATTTTCAAGGTCTTAGAAAATGCCAGCAGGGTTGAGAACAAGTGAATCTGAAGGGCCTGGTGTTCCAAAAGATAGGTGCTTTGACAGAGAAGTCATGCTTCTTGCCACCCTTCCCCCCAAGATGGCACTGTTTGATGGACAAGATTTGAATCATGCCTGTCCTGTCAATTCTAGTAGAATGGACAGGAACACTTGGAAAAATATACCATCCTTTTGGGCACAATGGAAGACTACCAACCCTGGTTGCACTCCTCTTTACTACCAACTTATTATTTGTACTCATGCTGCCAGACTAAATGTGTTGGCACGGATTATAAATACATCAAGTAGTCCATTAATTAATATTGTAATAAATTTAAATTTTTGTTAAGTACAAAGGAAAAATACTCAAGTAATTGAAAGGAAGCATTAATATGCATCAAATAACAGATGACACTATCCCACCTCCATGAAGAGGGTTGAAGATTCTCTTGTCATCAGGGTTGTAAAGTTTTAAAACAAACAAAAACTGGAACAAATTTGTCCATGCAAGATGAGAAGGAAACTTTAGGGAGAAAATAGAAAGGAAAAAGCATCACTTCATAAGATGATCTTATTTTTGAAAAATGCCTCTTCAGTTATTAAAGGTATGGATAAAAGGAGCAACTCACCTGATGGCACAAAATAGAGGTAGAGCGAGAACTTTATCCTTGTAAGGTTATCATCTGGTCTTTGAGTGTGGAGAAAAAGACAGATCAATTCTCCTACTTTTGTAGTACTATACTAAACAGATTGTTCCAGTAAAGAAGGCCAGTGAGTAGGCCTTGCCCTTGAAAATAGGTAATACAGCATAGAAATTAGGATTGTGTGCTACTTCCTTCATTTTTCTCTTTTTATGCTTTGCCCTGACCCAATTTTGTGATGTTTTCTCTTCCTCTTTCCTAGGAATTCCACGGCCTCCACATCCTCCAGATATATCTCCTTATTATCCACTATCACCGGGCACTGTAGGGCAAATTCCCCATCCGCTAGGATGGTTAGTACCACAGTAAGGAGTTCCATTTTTTAATTTTTAATTTTTTAATGTATAAATGTATTTGTGGATGTATGCATAAAAGGGGATGTTTATTATGGTTATTTCCTTTGCCTAAAATGTGCATTTTAAAATAAACAAGCCGGCTGCCAATTTATAACACTGAGAAATCAATAATTTGGTCAATACAAATTAAATGATGGGACATAGAATATTGAGTAAGAATGATGTGCAGCTTTTAATTTGTTTTAATTTCTGATGATCCATGAAATGTTTATTTCAAATGTTAGTACAAAGTATTGCAAATAAAAATTCCAAGAGAGTTTAATGTTAGCAGTTTGTTAATTTTGAGGTTATTTTTATGATACTTAAAGTTGTTTGTATTCATCCCCAAAGATACATTATTTTCATGTCTTGTAATATTTTTTTATTTTTATGAAACATGTTTCTAACATTAAGAGAGAGTTACATGACTGGATAAGGAAACTATTGATAAAGAAACAAACTGTTTTTAAAATGTGTAAATAACATGAACATTAATCAAGGATTCCAATTTTAATCAGAGCGTTTATTGCCTTTTTAAAGCTAGGTAATGACAACTTTACAGAGGTTCATGAACCTGACATGACTTAGGACATGAGGATCACACTAGAATTATTCAAGCATAATTTTCAGTGTTTTACTTAGTTGAAAACAAAACAAAAAAGGGGGAAGTTATCAAACCTTTTTTTAATGAAACACAAATGTCAACAAGTTAAACAATTTAGTCTAATTATATCAGTAGCAAATAATTCTGGGAACATACTGGTTTCCTTTCTACTACAACATCCTGCTCAAGATAAGAGAGTCTCAATAAAATGTACAAATATTTATATAATTTAGCTGGTCAAATAAACCAGATATTTTAGGCACTATAATATTTCAACATTTTTAGCAAGTTTGGCTTTTGCTCATTATTTTTGTGATTTTTGAATTTTCTAATTTTTAGCTTCTATGATTAATAAAATCTACATGGCAAACCTATATTGCATATTTCTGTTACACATTCCTTTGCGTATTAATAATACAAATTATGCAAATTATTTCATAACATTATACAAATTACTCTTAATGTGTTTTATTTTCGATAAGTAGAAGGTTGTCAGCTACTTTGCCCAACAAATGGCTTTCATTGTGCATACCTCTATAAAGTTATTTATTATTATATTTTGTGAAAGCCTTCTTCTTGACATTACACAAGTTATTTTTATTTTATAGATGAAAAATATGGTCCAGAGACTGAAAAAAATTAATGATTTTGTTAACAAATGAACAAAGCAATGCATTTCTGTATAGTAGCAAGATTTTTACAATATCAAATACTTTAAAAATATGATAGTTCTACTTTATGCTTTTTTGTCCAATTTACATTTAACAAAGATTTGATCCACTTCATACCAAAACAAATTGGATGTATTTAGGATATTAATAGTACCAACAACAATAACAATACATACCAGACAAAATCTTTTCCATTCAGTTCAAACATTACAGATAAAAAATAACACAGCATAGACAAATAAACCTCAGTCAGAAAAATCTATGAAGCTTTCATAAGAATGTTGTTTGGTGTGTTGCTGTATTTTTTTAATTATTATAATGAGGTATGATTGTCTATTGGTTACCCACAATACTTCTTGGGGACTCTCCCCTGGTAACTCTTGTCAACACTTGTTAATCTGACAAAAGGCTACAAATTAAGCTCTGTTAATTTAATGTTTTCTCACCGAGATCTAAATACCAAAAGAGGCCCAAAGCGCAACTGAAGTCCTTTGATTCACTGTACTTTATTTTGGTATAAATTTACATTCATTATTGTTTTCCTTTGGATGTGTAGCCCTCAATTAGTGTGATGGCTCCATTAAAGCAAGCAAGACTTCGCCTTTAATTATTACAACAAAACACCTAGTTTCAGCTTGGGGAGAGGGTCTCTATTGACATAAGCAGAGGTTATAAAATTTAATTAGCCATTCGTATCAGATTTATGGCATTCAAATTGTTCTAAGTTTCTTTCCTTTGATCTGTTGCTGTACAATGCCCAAGATTTTTTATTCCAATCAAAAGAGAATAAAACTTACTGGGCAGAGAACTTTTTTTTAAAAAAAACCCCATAATTGTTATTTTTTAATCATTTCCTTCCCTATCTTTCCAGGCAAGGTCAGCCAGTCTATCCAATCACAACTGGAGGATTCCGACATCCCTATCCCACTGCTTTAACTGTCAATGCTTCCATGTCAAGGTGAGTTCAAAATACCTGGGTCTAAAATATGGGTCAACTGATACTTCCATTTATTATTCATTTTGAATGACAAAGCTTTGCTAAATCATATGCCTTAATTATACACTAATCTTCCCAATTAATGTGAAAAACTATCCTCCATTGTTTTCCATAAAAAACCCTATAATATATAATGAAATATTGTGATTAGAAGTTAATTTGTTTTAACTGAAAGCTGACTGGAGAAAAGTAGTTTAGTAACCCTGGGATATTAAAAAACCAGGAGCTTATGCTCTTACACATTTTGTTTTCCGAATGTCTTCTTCCTTCTGACATGAGTTTCTTGTGAAGAACAGAAGCAATCTACTTATTGTGCTGTTAGAGGGGTGTTAAAATTTCTCCTCATTGCCAAATATTTTTACTTCAGATAAAAAGACCCACCTGATCCTCTACTGATTAAGAGATACATATTTATTTTCTTTTCCCCAAACTCCAATTAATTCCACCTAATTTTCCAAGAGATGATAGTTTATTTACAAACTGCTTGGTAAGGCTATGTTTAAGTAATCACTAATTGCTCCTAATGATAGTTTTATTCTCTGTTCATCTGATTTTCAGTCCAGTTAATTAAATCGGTGGAGGTTTAGACTCTCCTGATGGGCTGAATCAGCTAATCCATTTTGTTGATGGCTCGTAATTGAATTAGCATGTATTACATAGCAAGTATCTAGATTCAACCTCATGTCTCTGAAGGCTAGACAGCAGAAGGGGAAGAGTCTTAAAAATAGCAGGGATATGAAGAAGTAGAAAGGAAGTTTCTTGGCCAATGGAAAACCAAATAAACAAATTCTACCTGCAAACACATTATTTAGATTCCATAGTCTGTTGTTATTTTGCTATTAATTTTGTATATATGTAAAAGATAAGCAGGGTCTGAACTTTGTTTAATTGTTATCAGTGAGGTAGTTCTATTTATTTTGTTTAGTTTTTCATAAGAGAGGGAAGTGTGAGAGAAAGGGAGACAATATATTCCTTAACTAGGCCTTTATGAAAGAGAGCTAGTTAGAAGGGGTATACAGCAAACCAAATACATTATTGTGATAAGGGGATGACAGAAGTACAAGTCTATTATACTTACAACAGTTATAAGAATTGTATGCTCCTTGCCCTACTCTGGCACATCCTTTGATATTCATTCTATTCAGCAGCAGGGCCAGGACTTCTCAGAATTAAGTGATGGGTCATTATACTTTAAACACCACGGAGAAGCCTAGATTGGCAATTAAACAGCACTTGCTGACACTCGCTTGTGCCACTCTGTGACCCCCTTTAGATTGAGATGTTGAAGCTCGGGGCCCTCAGCCTGCTAAATTGGTCGTAGGCACTTCTCCTGACGAGGGTTGGCTGTGAAATCTGCCGGCATCAAAGGGAGCAAGATCATGTATAAAGCATAATGTGGGTGCACCATGGTTCAGGGGGAAAAAATAAAATAAAATGAGGCAGGAATAGATGAAATGTTACAAGTGCAAGGGGAAAATGAGAGGATAATGACAAACTCAATGCAATTCAAAGAAGAATAGTTGCATGGAAAAATGCATCCCACTGCTTGTGCATAAAATCAAGGCAGGCAGATGACATCCAGTTAACAGAAACATGTCAACAGTGAAATAAAGTGAGAGGGAATAAGAGACATAAGCCCCAGAGACAGCCGGGAACAAAAAATTAGTTGTCCTTAACAAGTTACAGCTCATCATTATATTCTGGCTTGGAGCCATAAAAGCAGACAGGGTATATAATGAGCTACTTAGAATTTTTACAGTGTTTATTGCAATTCAGATAGATGTTGATCTGCCAGAAGAGAGTCAAGGCCAGAGGATCTCACTCTGTCTCTTATATAATGTATAGAGTACTATTCCTTATATACTCAGAGACACAAAGCAAAAATCCATATGTACATAGCAGTTCATGTATCAGATACACAGAGAAGACGTTTAATTTTTTTTATGACACAGTCACACAAATGGCACAATTAATTCACCTGTTGTGTGACTGGGTCATAGCTTTGAAAAATGTGGCTTTTACTATTAATGTGGCTTTTATTATATTGCCATATTGTAATGAATACAGGTAGTCCTTGACTTATAACATTTTGGTTAATGGCTGTTCAAAATGACAATGGCACTGAAAAATGTGACTGATGACTGTTTTTCACACTTAACCGCTGTTCCAACATCCATGTGGTCATGTGCTCAAAATTCAGTAAATGCGAGTCTGTTTTTGCATTTATGGCGGTTGCAATGTCCCGGAGTCATGTAACCTTCTGATGAGCAAAATCAATAGAAAAGCCAGATTCATTTAACAATCATTTAACTAACTTAAAAACTGCAGTGATTCACTTAAGAAGTGTGCAAAAAAATGGCACAAAATGGGGCAAACTCACTTAACTCACTTAGCAACAAAAATGTTGGGCTTGATTGCATCATAGATTGAGGACTACCTGTAATTCTGTTGGTTAATATTTAATACTTTTGACACTGTGCCCTTTCATTTTTATGAAAATAGGAAAGTAAAGAATAGCTTCCTTTCCTGGCATTTTGATGCATATACGTACATATTTCAAACTCAACTTGTTTTTTCATCCGAAGTAAAACCATCATTGCGGAATAACACTAAACTCAGAAACTGAATCTTAAGCTTTTTAAAATTAAGCAGATTTTAGGTTTGAAGTTGGGAATTAACATTGTTTTTTAGAACATTGGAAAACCTTGTCTTTCTTCATTTCACTCTTTTTTGCTTTATCAATGATCTTTACTGTTTTTCCCATTCTTTAAGCATTTTCCTAAATTTAGAGTTTTTCAGACCTTTAAATATATTATTTTTCCAAGGTTACGTGTCAAGACATTTTATCACAAGGTTTAGTTTCATCTCGTCATGACTTTGCCTAAGATTTTCCCAGAATAAATTAGGAAAGAAGTTATAGATAGAGAATAGTGTGAATTTTTCCTTTTTATTCACATGGGAAAAATATTCTGTCCTAATGACACTAAAATAAAGAATTCAATGCATTGTTACAGTCAGAGTTTAAAGTATACAGTTTAATACAGGACATTTTTGGGGGTGCTGAAAGCTTAGTTCCAAAATTCCCAAAGGCCATGTTCCCAGGGAGAAATTCTGAAAGATTCCAGGTTGGAGAAGGGTGTATTTCTACATAGATAATAATAATACACATTTTCTCCTTACACAGCAAAATGTAATTGCAACATCATCTGTTTTTAGCACTAGTATAACTAGTTCTTCCCATTCTTATCAAAAATCAGACAGAAATAAATAGCTACTTTTTTGTTATCACTTCGTTTTAGGATATGTCTGGTATGTCTTCATCACCTTTTATTTTTCTTCCTTGTTCATCCAGTTTGGCATAATTTGACTTTCCAAACTTGCTTTTAAAGTTAACACATCTGTATCATTGCTTATCCTTTTGTCTACTAGCTTTTTAGAAGTTAAGAACTATTTAAGATAATACAACCTTCATAAAAATAGATTAGGTTTGGTACTATGTTTTTTCCTTGTGCATCCCTTAGGTTTTGACATTCCACTCAAGAGAATCTACTGCTTATCCATATTTTTGAAGGAATGTAATTGAAAAAACAAGCAAATATTTGTACAAGGTATCAATAAAACTACACCCAATTTGCCATAGTCAACCATGATCCAAAAGAGATTGGACAATTTGTCTGAAATGGTATAGGGTTTCCTGCCTAAGCAGGGGCTTGGACTAAAATACCTCCAAGGTGCCTTCCAACTCTGTTATTCTGTTAACTCTGTTATTAGTCTTTAATCTGGAATTAAAAACTTTTTCTTTTCATTTTCTGTCCTTTGTTCTCTTCCAATCTCTTCTTCTATCCCATTTGTTTTTATAGATGTCAAAGAATGTGAATCCTTTCTGAGGAAATGACTCATTAGGTGATGAGGTATACCCATGCACTGAAATAAGATCTTAGATGTTTTTCATCGTTTTCCACAAGAGTTTTACCTGTAGAAAATGGATTTTCCGTTTTCACAGACGGAGATAATGTGGCTCTATTCGGTAGTACAGTAAGGTTTTTTCCATGCATTATGGGGGAGGAGGGGATTTGCGCATTCAGCCAGATAGGGGTTGACAATTTCATCCACCTTCTCAGCTCTTCCAAAGGTCCTAGGATAGGCACATTTTCTTGTTTTATGATGTTAAAAATATTGTTACATGATGTGACCTGTTCCAAGTAAAGCTGTCTTTTACAACTTTTTCTATTTACATTGTCAATGCCAATGGTGTCCTAGTGGTACTCTAGATATTGAAGTAGTATATATTCAGATCTAATCAGTGTAGCCTTTTGTAATTGACAGATAGAAATTTTGTCAATTAGATATTTTATAAGTGCGATCCTGGATTTTTTTGGTATAATACCTAGTGGCAATAACCAATGGCATGCCATGACCACTTAATGCCGTGATCTTTCAATTTCAATTTTCAGATTTTGATATCTGCTGCAAATCCTTTTCTTCTATTTCAATATTTCCTGGTATCACCCACCTCAATTATCCACATTTTCTTCTTTTCAACCAATAAAAGCTCGTGTGTTATGAGCCAAGACGTTATCAGTTTGTGTTTGGAAATCTTACAATACTTTAATCTGTACATTTTCTACAACTTTTAGAACTATATTTCCATCATATTTATTAGTGGCAACTTGCATCAATGTTTCTTGGCCAATTTCCCTGAGGGCTCCTGATGATTTAGCCATTTGGCATTTAAATTCCATCAGTGTACAGGATTTTATCTGCTTTATTCTTACATGAACATGTTTCCCTAGTCCCAATTCCTTTGCAAAATGTGTACTAAAAATATTTGTCAAGAATTGAATTTCCATTTCTGATTTTCCATAATGCTTCAGATCATCTTGATAAAGCAAATGTCAGATTTTATTATCAGTTTTGGCTGCTTGGTAACCAAAATTTGTTTTTTATTATTATTATTAATA